TGTCATGATTATTTCTGCATAAATTGTGTCACAGTTCACAGTCAAGTTCCTCTGTGTGTTGGTCACAAAGGTGTTGGATAAATCTCAAGTTAAGTCAGGAACCAGTAAAGGTCTACCGAGGGCACCAGCAGAGAGATGTGACAGACACAGTCATAAACACATTGATATGTACTGTCAGAATCATGATAATGTTGGCTGTTCTACATGTATGGCAATTGATCACAGGTAACTTTTAGCATAATAATCATTTTTACAGTTTAATAATACTTAGTATTTATCAATTAAAGCTGAAAGCCTCACCCTATAATCCTATTGCCCCTGAAAGTGAGTTTTTTTTTTAAATTATTTATTAATTCATTGTCAAAAGCAGATGACTCAAATATGTGGTAACCAAAATGGATGGTGTCCCCTAATTTTCTTTCCATAGATTTATTTCAGTTATAATGTTTTAATCATTTAAACTTAAGAAAATTATTGCATTAGTTTTTCTTCCTTACTTAAATTTCCTTGCAGAAAATGAAGTATAGTAAGGGCTGATTTATCACTTTGCAACAAGTTAATAAGATTATTTTTTCATTCCTTTAAGATGCCTAAACAGACTTAATTCCTTTTTCCAGATCATGTAAGGATATATTCTATATACCAGAATTCATCCAAAACAAATCTTACCAAGTGGTTTCAAGAGAAATTCAATCAAAGCTGAAGGTATTAGGCAAGACCCTTGCTGTACAAGCTAACAAATTTCAACAGGATAAACAGAACCTTCAGAAAAGAAAGGCTAATTTACTGGCTGATATCAGAAAATTCCGACAAGAAATTAATGACCAACTTGACAAGCTGGAGAAATGTTCTGTAGATGAGATAGCAAATAAATTCAAAATTCTTGAAGAACAGATTGAAGAAGGTCTGAAACAGCTACAAGGACACAAAGCGAAGGTCATATCAGCTAATGATAAATTAGCATCTCCAAACCAAAATCAAGCTGAATTGTTTGTTCATGTGAAGATGGGGGAAAATGCTGAAAATGTTGCCAACAAATTTATAGAAGATACCAAAGTGAATAAAACAGTAAGTGACATAGAGTTTCATTCTGACAGAAATCTCCTTGAACAGCTGAAACAAAACAAAACCATTGGCATGCTGACAGAGAAAACTACAAAAACTGCTGAGAATTCACTTCAGATTACAGGAGGACAATCATACTGTGTCAAAGTAAAGTCTGATGAACAAACATGTGATATCTACAGTGCCTGCTATATGGAAAATGGTACAATCATCCTTGCTGACTACAACAACAAGAAGCTTAAACGGTTAAAAAGTCACAATTATACCATCACAGATTGCTATAATCTACCTGGAGAGCCATTTCAAATATGTAAAATTAATGAAACACAAGTTGCAGTAACATTTAACTCCAAACAGGAAGTTCATTTCATTTCTATAGATAGACAAATGAAAACGACAAACAAGATTAAAACTGGTTTTATTTGTCGTGGTATTGCCTATGCAAACAATCATTTATATATTTCTGATAACTTATCAGTCTATATCTACACAATGAGTGGCAGGAAACTTAAACAGTTTAGTATTGACCAGTCAGGACAGGAACTGTTCTCTGACATAAACAGTCTAGCTGTCAGTAAGGATGCTACAAGGATTTATGTTACTGATTTTGATAAAGGACTGATAGTATTAGACAACAATGGTCAGATTGTTACAACATTTAATGGTAAACAATTACAGACAGCTAATAATTGTCATCACACTGAAGCAGGTAGTGTGCTGGTATCTGGATATATCTCCAATAATGTATTACAGTTTACATCTGATGGTGAGCTGATAGGAGAAGACATAAAAGCTGCCAGTGGAAAACGAGGAATGCAGTCAGTTTGTTGTAATCAACAAATGTCTAAGATGTGTATAAGCAGAGGAGATAAAGACAATATTGAGGTGTATGATATCTGATCAGTTTATAAGTAAATAAATGAAAACAACTATAATTTATATTCATGATATCCATCAAGAGTTATTATAAAATAAATGGTAAACAGAGTGTGACCAATTTCAAAGATAAACTTGTTATTGATGGGAGGTGGTAATTGTCATTTAATATAAGAATGAATCTACAACATGAAATAAGACAATCATGAAAAATAGGGACATGAACATATATGTGTATAAGTGAATTACAAAATTGTTGTATGCTCAAACATACAACTATGTACAAAGTACCAAGTTGATATAAGAGTGTGTGACTTTTTATTATAAATGGACATAAATTTATCGGTGAATAACATTTTATATAATGGATTTAATTATTATACATGAATATAAAACATAACATAGAACTAGTACTCCGCGATATATATATTTTCTTAAATTATGCACATATGGATCTCTTCAGCACAATTGGAGCTCAAATGCAATTTTGAGCAGCTTTTCCCTTCGTTTGTAGCCAAATCTTAATAAATGTTTAAATCGGGATTTGTCTGAATGTTAAGCATCAATCTGTAGTGAGATTTCTTAAAATCTCTGTTTTTTGAGTCCCTTTATTGACATTTTCTTCATTCACATTGCATGTTTTGGACACACCAGAACCCACGACGGAAAGAATATCTCAATGAAGACTGCATAGAAATCCAAAACAAAAGTGGGTAATATAAAGGGGAGTCAGGAGGGTTGAATCACATTTCCATTTTCTTAAAAAAAAGGATTGAATTTTATATAAATGTTTAAAAAGATGAACACTTACCCTGCAATTGACCTATTTTTACAGTCACATCTGGTGTTATGCTTCACATCTGGTGCAGAGGAAATTCACATGTAATTTTTACCGATGCTCATTTTTGAGATACAAATGGGGTTCCACCCCTGTGTATGTGGTATTTTTACATATTTCTATAATATGCAGTCATACCATATTAATGTTGAAAGTTTTATATTGTGCATTGTTAATATTATGTAAGTACATGTACTAACAATATGCTTGTATATACTTTACATGAGGCCACATTTGTATAATGGGAAATCAATTTACAACATATATTTATTTTCACACACATTTTTTTTTAATTTTTAATGGTCTGTATGACATCAGAATGGTATCATGTTTCTTGTATGAAAATGTCAAGAAAATAAATCATTGCAGATGTTAATCATTAACAAACGAGATAATTAGAATGTTTACCAAATAAACAAATTGTCTGAAACAATCATAATAACATTAATTACTCTATTGTTGTTGTTGGGTTTAATTTGTATTGCTACTTTTGAACTTTATTGATGGAGAAAGAACTAAGGTATCCTTCTGTGTTCTTTTTCAAAAATGTGTAGGTACTTGAGTATAACACCCCGGCCTTAGAGAATAAGTAAAAAGCTGAGTAGATAATTTCCTCACATGAAAGAATCCAATGTCCTTGGCAGGATAAAACCTCTTATTTACAAGGATCAATTGTTTTATGTGTGTGTGTATGTGTGTGTACGTGCGTGAGTGTGTGTGCTTTCTATTGGATTAATATGTCTCACCAACATAGTATAGGTCATATGACAACGTTCCAGCTTTAATGGTGAAGGAAGATATCAGGTGCTGAAGCACAAACGGGCAAATAGGTAGAAACACTGGCTAGATAGCTTTCTGACATGTAGGATCGAAGACATGTATGAAATTCAAACCTTCAGTAGTAAAATGCAAGTGGTTTGAAGTCATCAAGCTAAATCTATCCAACAGGAATGCCCCTTAACGGTCAATTGAATGGAGGTCAGCAACCTTAACCACTTGATCACAGACGCCCCTCAAGTGTCAATTGAATCAAGGTCAGCAATCTTAACATCTCGGCCACTTATGCCCCTCAAGGGTCGATTTAATCTTGTTCAACAACCTTATCCTTTCTGCCACGTATGCACCTCAAGGATGAATTGAATGGAGGACAGCAACTAACCTTTCAGTCATGGATACCCATCAAGTTTCAATTGAATTGAGGTCAGCAACCTTTACTACCTGACCAAGGACGCCCCTCAAAGGTCAATTGAATCAAGATCAGCAACCTTAACCTCTCAGCCACAGGTGCCCCTCAAGGGTCAATTGAATCGAGGGCAACATTCTTGACCTCTAGGCCACGGATGCCCCTCAAGGGTTAATTGATTTAGGTTACCAACCTTAAACTCACGGCTACGGATGCACCTCAAGGGTCAACTGTAATTGAGGTCAGCAACCTTTACTACCTGACCAAGGACGCCCATCAAAGGTCAATTGAAACAAGGTCAACAACCTTAACCTCTCAGCCACAGACGCCCCTCAAGAGTCAACTGAAACAAGGGCAGAAACCTTAAACTCTCGGCCATGGACCCCCTCAAGGGTCAATTGAATCGATGGCAACAATCTTGACCTCTCGGCCATGGACGCCCCTCAAGGGTCTCTCGGCTACGGATGCACATCAAGGGTCAATTGAATCAACGTCAGCAACCTTAACCTCCCAGCCATGGACGCCTCTTAACCCTTTCCCTCATGAGCATATTGTAAAAAATGGCTGTTTTCATTGAAAAGCCTCCTGTTACAAGTTCAAACTGCTATGAATTTTTTTGTTTTGTTTTGGGTTTTACGTCACATCGACACAGTATAGGTCATATCGCGACGTTCCAGCTTTACTGGTGGAGGAAGACCTCAGATGCCCTTCCGTGCATTATTTCAGGCACGAACGGGCACCTGAGTAGAACCACCGACGTTCCGTAAGCTAGCTGGATAGCTTCCTCACATGAAAGAATCCAAAGTCCCTGTCGGGACTCGAACCCACAGCGGTGAGGGGCAAGTGGTATGAAACTATGAAATATGCTTCAATACTAATCAAACTTGGCACAAATGTTGACTTGACCATTGCCTTTGTAACGACATGCTCAGTCTAAAATTTTCTGTTACCATGGCAACGAGGGGACATCTCAAAATTGTCAAAAATCACTATTTTGCCTTGATTTTTTCCATCAAAATTTATTTCAAAGTGCTGCAACTTTAGATTGAGGCTTTTCAGTGTTGGTTACACGTTACCTTATGATCGACCTGGGGTCATTTTTAGCCTCTCACAAGTCCAAAATTTTCTTGGCGATCAGGGGAACTACCACCCACATCCCCCTTCTGGCAACCCCCTGATGTATCTTTTGGATGGGGGCAGCGCCGAAAAAGTGCTCACTTTTTTAAGCAACATTTCTCAAACGAAAACATGTGTTTGAGGCCCAAATAGGACATTGTTTCACTATTTGAGGCCTACATTGTATAAGAGGGGCGGGGTCGAAAGCGTTGTTTCGCGTATATATGAGGTAAAGAGTAAAAAAAAAAAAATAAAAGTATGTTATTTGATGAGTGTAGTTTAAACAGGAGGAATCAGGCTTAAAATTAAAAAAATGTAAATATTAAGGTTCAAATTTGACATTTATAGCTTAAAAATTAAAAAAAAAGTCAATAGGTGTGGCTCATTTTTATACAAATGTGAAGGAAAAGTTTAAACAGAATACTATATAAGATACCTTAATTTAAGAGCCTTCTATTGAAAATACAAAAGGATTCTTGAAATTAAAAGAACGATATGCAAATCAATCAATAAACAATGTAAGAAGTGGCAAACAAACACCCTTTCTTAGGTTTGCCTTATCCATTAGGGTTAAATATATAGTTTTGAGACTGTGGTTATAACACAAACAGTATTGACAATTATCTATAGAAATATACAGATGTTAATAGTTACTTTAAACAAAACTAGAGCTATCACTGAAGGTGATTAATACCCCCACAAGCAACCATTACGTTTGAAAAATAAGTGGTGTGAACAATAGTTTGAAGTTGAACTATAATTTATGAAGATTAAAATGAGTACAAAGAATTGCAACATCAACCAGGTCTTCAAGAAAGCTTGTTTTATCTCATTCCTAGCTCAAGTTATCGTCCGGAAACCATTTTTATATTTTTAGTAACGGTGACCTAGTCTTTGACCCCAGGGGGTCCATATGCAATACAAACCCAGGTATTCATACAAGCTTGCTGTACACCAAGTTTGATTGGAACATCTCATTCCTAGCTCAAGTTTTCGTCCGGAAACCATTTTTCTATTTTTAGTAGCGGTGACCTAGTCTTTGACCCCAGGGGGTCCATATGCAATACCAACCCAGGTATTCATACAAGCTTGCTGTACACCAAGTTTGATTGGAACATCTCATTCCTAGCTCAAGTTATCATCCGGAAACCATTTTTCTATTTTTAGTAACGGTGACCTAAGTCTTTGACCCAAGGGGGTCCATAATGCAATACCAACCAGGTATTCATACAAGCTTGCTGTACACCAAGTTTGATTGGAATATCTCATTCCTAGCTCGTTATCGTCGGAAACCATTTTTTCTATTTTTAGTAATGGTGACCTAGTCTTTGACCCCAGGGGTCATATGCAATACCAATCCAGGTATTCATACAAGCCTTGCTGTACACCAAGTTTGATTGGAATATCTCATTCCTAGCTCAAGTTATCATCCGGAAACCATTTTTTCTATTTTTAGTAACGATGACCTAGTCTTTGACCCCAGGGGGTCCATATGCAATACCAACCCAGGTATTCATACAAGCTTGCTGTACACCAAGTTTGATTGGAATATCTCATTCCTAGCTCAAGTTATCGTCCGGAAACCATGAAGGTGGACCGACCGACGGACGGACCGACCAACCGACCGACAAGCTGACTCCTATATACCCCCCCTAAACCTCGTTTGTGGGGGTATAATTACTTACCAAAAATGACATTTGTTTGAAAGAACATACTAAGAAATAATGTTTTTTTCAAAAACATATTACGTAAAAGATTTGAAGTAAATATGTCATGTAAATGTATTTTACGTCCCACACACGTACTGAAAGCTAGCTGTCCTCACATGAAATATTCCAATGACCAAAGCGGGATTCAAACCCATTTAGTAAGCTAACTAATTAACTTTGTCACAAAAATGAATTCAAATTTCCTGGCAGGATTCAAATCAACAGTAGAAAGGAGAATGTGATTATAAGTCAGAATCAACAAGAGCCGTCACCAAAGTGATGAATGCCCCCGAAAAGGTTTCTAAAGCATGCAGGTATTATGAAAAAAAAAAAGAATGATTTTGTTTGTTTGTTTTAGGTTTTACATCACACCGACACAGTATAGGTCATTTGGATACATTCCAGCTTTACTGGTGGAGGAAGACCTCAGGTGCCCCTCCGGGAATTATTTCAGGCACGAACGGGCACCTGAGTAGAACCACCGACGTTCCGTAAGCTAGCTGGATTACTTACTCACATGAAAGAATCCAAAGTCCCTGTCGGGATTCGAACCCACAGCGGTGAGGGGCAAGTGGTTTGAAGTCAACGACCTTAACCACTCGGCCATGGACGCCCCGAAAAAAGAATGGAAGTAACTGATTGCTAAATATTGTTCTTTGTATTATTGTACCTCATGTAATCTCTAATTGCAATAGCCTGAACATTCAAAATATAAGTGTGACCTTGATCTTTGAAGAAGGGACGTGGTTCCTAGACGGGGCTGAATGTTGTTATGAGATAGACATCTGTGCCAAGTAA